ACTCTCTTAAACTGGATGAGTTTTATCCTTCATTAAGTGCAGTCAAATTTCCAAACATCCAGAAGATGGCACAGAGGATGCTGGTGTTGTTTGGCTCTGCCTATGTGTGTGAACAGACTTTTAGTGTGATGAACACCAACAAAGCACCCCACAGATCCCAGTTGAGTGATGAACACCTCAGATCTATTCTGGGAATTGCCACAACAAAACTAACACCAGACTTCGATACACTGGCAAAAAAGGGTGGTCAACAACACTGTTCCCACTAAAAGTGAATGTACGGTAAGTATTAACACTGTAATGCCTTTTATATGTTTATGTTTGATATGTATACATCTGATGCTGGCCCGGCCCGTCTGTCAAATTTTAAGAGTCAATGTGGCCCCTGAGCCAAAAAGTTTGCCCACCCCTGCTCTATAGGCTACTTACAGTCAACATAGCCCATAAAATACTCTGTACTGTTTGACTTCCCTCCCCAGTCTGTGACTGGCAGCTTCAAATTCATTGGTTCCTTCTGAAGATCTTCAAAAGCACACGACAGATGTATAGTTAATTTTTTTTTAACAGGCTTGGTAATTTCATAAACTACAGCTGCTCGCTGTACTTTATAACAATCTTTACTCAAACAGGAGGGAACTGTGCATTTGTTGGGGACTATTTTCAGTGGTGGATGAACCCATGTTTGGCCTGTAGTGAGTATTTGTGTGTAGGACTGAGTCAGAATAAACTACAGTGTGTGTGTGTGTTCATGGTTATGACCCACCATGACACAGCGTGGTTACTGATGGGGTTTAGTAGTTTCTAGACACCGTGGAGCTCAGAGGGAGGAGAGAGATCAGGCTGCAGTACACACAGGATGTGTTAGCAGCTTAATTCACTGTTGGTTTTGATGTTCTTATGGGATTTACTGACAACAAGAGGAATATAAAACATTTCCACCTGTTAACATCTCTAAATGGTTTGAGGAGACATCTGATCAGAGGAAGTGGTTAAAATGTGGGTGGTGTCATATGACAGCATGGACATGAAGGGAACTGTGGAGAGAATGATGGGAGATGTAGTGAAGTGATCATACTCATAAGTAGGGGAGAGCTCAGAGCGACCCCCTCCACCCCCACTCTGGGAGAAGGGAATGTCTGAGGGACTTATCCCAAACTCCTTAACTCTGGAATCATGGCAGGAGAGAGACGGAGAGAAACAATAAGCAAGAAGAGGAGACAGGAGAGGATCATGTTAGGCTCACAACCACAGACATTCATTTAATTCAGTCTGAAGAACATGTGAGGAGGAGGTAAACATGCCAACACTGGGTGACTACACCAAATATTTCATCATAGAAATTCTAACTAGTATTATGCTGAACAACAAAATCTCTTTAGGTGTGATTTATTAAAGCTGCACGAATCAATATTTCTAGATCAACAGTGAGTCAAATGACTATAATGTGAAAAGTGTCGCTGGTAGTGATAAACAGGAGAATTATCACCCTGCCCTTTAGTTGTCTTCAGCTCAATGTTTTGGTTTATCTGACAGCAATGTAAAGGTGCATTAACTAAGAGTTTACACATTGTCTGATAAAATCAAGTGAAAGTACGGTCTGTAAATCAGCCCCGCCTGCCGCCTAGCCAAGGTTAGAAGAAGGGGTTTTCCAGCCAGCAGTCAT